TAACGGATGCATTGCTCAATGAAAAAACAAAACAAAACAGAAACACAAATAATAAAAAAAAAGTTTAAAAAAATATATTGTTGAATGCAACCAAAGTTAGCTTGTTTGTATATTCTTGGAGAGGAACTCTGGTTAGATTGTTCATTAACACAATGTAAAGTTAGATCAATACTGTTTGAAGTGTTTTAGGTAATGAAATCAGCGCTTGTATAAAATTTTAAAAAATGATTACATTTGTTTTCTCTCTTTATCACACAATTAAATGAAACTGGTTTAGATTTAATGTGTGTTTTATGTTAACAATATTTCACTTGGACTTATACAGGGAGGCTAACTGTTACAGATTTTCCATACTTTTTTGGGGATTACGAAAGGCTATAAAAATCTCTGACAGAATCCAGTTTCCTGATTTGTTAAATGACTTATTATTTTCAAGATATATTTTTCTTTTAAAAGTTGTGAATGACTTTGTTTTTATTTATTTATTTTTTTATTTGATGGTAAACACTATATTTTAAAGCATAAAAGTTACTATTTATTTATCCATCTATCATTGTAACTTAAAATAACAATAAAATAATTAATTTTATGATTATTAAAAGTACTTTAGAAAATTATCTTTGTTAGTATGGTAAAGCATTGCTATGTGAAGTGCTACTGGAAGCACAATTATTTCTTTTACTATGGAAAAACACTGCTACTAGTTGGCTTCCCTGAACTGTTCAAAGTATTGAAAAGTTATTTTTATCATGCTATCAGCCTATTCTTTTCTATTACCTTTTTCATAACTAAACTTACAAACAAACATTGGTTGAAAAGTATTTAAATACTGATATTTCTTGTTCAATGTATGAAAACATTTTAGAAAAATGTCAAAATCTTAAAAATAAATATGCTTGCTCAAATATATTTTAATTACAAAAGAAGTGAGTTATACAATCAATACTAATAAGCAGAGCCCAGATTTTGATAACCTAATAAATTCTCATAGACCGTAAAAATAACAAAAAATTCTCTTAAAATATCATTAAAATAAAAAAAATCTCTTTGTAATTAAAAAGTGTTTTAGATTTTCAATGTAACAAACATCAATGTAGTTTTTGTGCAGTGTGGATTCACCGGGCAGAAGATGACAAGTGTGTCATTATAAAAACAAAGGCAATTTAGAATTCGGTTTTCTGAAGGATTATATTTTAAGCTGTATTGTATTAAATAGTATAATTAAAATGTGTGAAAGTTGTAATAATGAGTTAGTACTTCTTAAAATTTCTCAACATTAAAACATTTCTTGAAAAAGGTTTAATCTTACTGAATTATGTTTAATACATTTTAAGTTTATTCAATGCAAATTACAGTTTCCTTTCATTTTACTATTAATTCTTGATAACTACTAAAATAGGTAACAAACAATTAAAGAAAACAAGACGTACTCACCATCTCTCCTCCTTTCTAGCACACAACTAATTGCATCTCCTTCAGACCTCCCTGGGTTGTTGTGCCCAAGGAAACAACCAACCCCAAGTTCGCCAAATCCCTAAGCTCTGGCACTCAGATATGCCTTACCTTGGCACCACTTCACTAGAATGCAGAAAATTCCCTAATGGAGCAAAAAGGTTCAAAAATGCAAACATCATTAAAATCTGGGCCTTCTTAATAAGCTGATGCACAAAATAGTTCAACGTAAAATATAATACCTAAGTTTATTGCATAATATTTCTCTTTTGTAATCATAGCTGTAATGTTATTTTTTTGGTTGTGAAGGCTGTTAGCATTTTATATTGAGTTAAAAATAGAATGACTTATAAGGTATCTAATTTCAAACAAATTAATCCACCCTTACATTTTTTTATCATTAATACTTATCTATTGCTCAATTAGCATAGTTAATTAGTGAAATATAGCTCATATTTTATCATTAAATCAAAATTTTGACTATTTATACACTTAGCTTTACAGCACAAAACTAATTATTCATTTTGAATGGAGCAGTAACAGCTGAACTAGTATGCAGCTCATAAAGATTTTTTTAACCAAAAATAATGAAAAAATGGTTTAAGATAGATATTCTGATAATAAAAATAGTAGTTTTTCTTTATTAGGGAAGAGAGGAATGTTTTATTTTTTGTGTTAATATTTGTTATTTAAAAAAAAATTTGGAACATATTCAACAAATATTGTGATGAGAAAGAACATTTTAGTACTTATTCTAAGCTCAATTTATATACAATTCTTAAAAATTTATAATAAAAAGACAAACCAATGATTTTCTGATATGCTATTTTATAGATATACTAATTTTAATTATCTTACGAGTAATTATAATTTTTAAGTTTGACTTACAAATTTCAATGTTTTTTTTGTAAAATGAGGACTCTAATATTTTCCCTATAAATAACTTATCACATCTATTTAAACATAACTTATAAATGAATTTATTAATCCTCATCTTGGTCATAAAAATTATTTAGGTAAATAATTTGTATGGCTTTATAAATATTTAATCTGATTTCAGAGGGTATAAATATTTGATCTCATATATAGCTCAAATAAAATCGTCATATAATTTATATTTTGTTATGAATCAGAACTTATTCATGTCTGTTAGTTTTCAACACGTCTGTTAGTTTTCAATGCTAATAATTCGTGGCACTTTTAATTTTCAGATAAACACTAAAAATGCTTGAAAGCTAAAATATCAAATCTATCATCCTACTGTCATTTTTTTTATGTTATAATAACTTAAAAGACTGAAATAAATTTTTAAATTAATTCCTCAATTTTGTCTTATTTATTTATTTTTGTAATAGAAAAATAAAATGGATTTTCTAGGTATGAAAAAATTAAGAATAAAATAAAGTAATTGCAATATGCAAGAATTTATCTAAATCTAACATTAAAAATATGCAATTATTTTTAAGCACAAACTCAGGAGAAGCAGGACTAACGATAATTATGTGTTTATAATTTAAAAATAAACTAATCATCCTAACTATATGTTTTAAAAAAGATACAGTAGTTTCTATTTTTAAATTAACAATCCTAGAACTCAAAATATGAAATTTGGTGTTCACTGTAAAGTTGACATGATTTAAATGTTTTTTTTTTCTTCTTTTCTTTTGAATAACTTAAATAGCCTAACCTTTAGCGACATTTAAGAACCTGTTGAAAGATAATATACATACACCTTCTTAATGTTATTGCATATATCATTTTCACCAAGAGCTAAAAATTAATAAGCTTAAAAATAAATAAATTGGAATCAGATTTTTAAAATAACATAACTTATTTCTTTACTTTTTAGCGTGTTTACAAAACCTTTTCTTCCAACCTGTTAAATTTGTATTTTTGTTTAAGTTTTTCAAATTTGAGTAAATGAATACAAATAATCGACTGAAACTAAATATATTCCTTAAATTTTTTTTATAATTGATTAAATAAATTATACATAAAATTGTGTATAATTTCAAACTACAAATTTCATTTTAAAGTTTATCTGATAATATTCCAAGATGTATCTAGTGTGTGATAAAATGTGTAGAGTATAGAAAATTGCAAGCAAGTAAGCATTAAATTTGTTTGATCTGAAGCAGGTATTCATGTATTGCATAGAGATAAGAAAAAAATAAGCTTTTAGTGCTTTTCTTTGCTTTAGTTTCATTCCTTGGTGTGATAAAAGAGAAAACATTTAAACTCTGCAAGTTTTTCCGGTTAAATGTAGAAAACGAAACTTTTATAGTTCATGTTATTGTACTTTTGGGAGGGTATTTTTATTTAAAAGTATTTTGCTAGATTGATTGTGTTAAAAGCTTGTTTTCTACTTCTCTGAAAACTTATGACGCACATTTTGTTAAATTTCTTTACACTGTGGGACACTAAGCATCCATGTCATGTAATTCTTTGTGTTTCCAACTTATCTCTCTGAATTATTTTTGTTAAGACAGTTATTATAGATTTGATAAGAACAGGCATTGAGGTAAATGGGTAAAAGGGACTTCATTTGAATAGTGGATCAAATCCCTCTTACTTTATTTTAAGATAAATATGATTATGATATATGATTTAAAATAAGATAAAAATTATTTGTATAAACATAAAAATATAAACATAAAAAATTTAAACGTAATTTCATTTATTAAAAAATTCCTTTAGAAATAAGACTAATATATATATATATANTTGATTTTGAGGTATTTATTTGCACCCTTTTCTATATATATATATATATATTTGGGCTACATAAATAGAAATTTTTTTACATTCTAAATGCATTGACAATTATTTGCATTGTTTTTGTTTATTTAATTCATTTTTTTTTTTAAATTTTCTTTTTGTAGATGTATTTTTTTTTATTCATTTGAAGAGTGAAAATGATTATTAGATTTCATTTTAAATTAATAAAAGTCAATATTGTTGTTTATTGATTGACCTTAATTTCAGTTCATATTTTGTTTTCAGTAATATTTAAAGCTGCAAGTATGATCATCATTTTCAGAAAACTGCGAGATTTGTTAAAAAATGAAACAAGTTAAGAAATATAATATAAATAATAAAAATATATTACTTTAGGAAATTAGAACAATTTATTTTGTTAGAACAAGTCTATAAGCAATTATTTTATATTTACTAATCTATTACAGAGTTAACTTGATTAAAAAAATTACTTATCACTGAAAATACATTATTTCTGCACACTAAAGTATAAAATAATTTAAGGAACTGGAAAAAAAATTTAATTGAAAAGTTGGTAGATCATACCTATTAACAACTGTTTTACGTTTGCAAAGCTATTCCACAAAGTTAATAAGATTTAAACTATAGTTTTTGGTTGAAAAAAATGTCACATAGAGTTTTAGTAAAAACATTTTAAAAGAACTATGTTTTTAAATTGATTGTCATATATGTATCTTTAATTTTATCAATTATTTTTGCAGTTTTGTTCATTTCTTTTTAATCAATATTTAAGCTGAAGCTTTAAGAGAAATATTTACTTTTATCAATGTTGAAGAAAATATTTTTTAATAATTATTTGTGGATTTTTATGATTTTATAATTTTTTTTAAAATTTTAAATAGCTGATTTCATGACAGAATGTTTAATGTCCTACAGGATGTTTTAGCCCTTAGTAGAACACATGTCTGTATAAATGCATATTTAAAGAAGGGTTTTTCTTATTGTTCTTCATTTCTGATTTTGCCAACAAAACTGGAATTTTCCTATATATTCCACTCTTGTTATTAAATTTGTTCTTTCCTTTTTCTTGTAACTTACTGTTATTATTATGAAAATGATAAAAATATACTTTGTTGAATTTTAACATATTTCTATGAACATATGTGTATATGCGATATTGAGTAGATCTATGATCAAAATTGACTACATACACAGATATACTCTATTTTACGACAACAAAAGTGTTAACTAGTTAAATGACTATGGTTTTTACTATAAAATTTACTTACTTGAAACTGACAGAAACCTATTTTTGTCCCATTTTTGTTAAATCTTAATTTATAATACCGAATTGATATTCATAGAGCAGGCTAAATATGTGATTTTTCTAAATTATGCAAGTTTAAAAGTTCCCTTGGAATTGATGTTCTTGAAGGGCTTTTTATGTTTCAAATACAATTACAGCATAACTTGAGATTTGTTTATGTATAGTAAGCTCCCAATTACCCAGTTCTTGATTATCTGGATTTGTCTATATATAGTAAGCTCCCAATTACCCAGTTCCTGATTATCTGGACTGGCAAAAAAAATTAGTATAGGATGAGCGATATTGTTTGTAGATATTGGTAGGTGGGGATGTCAAAAATAAGAAAATGCTTAAGCGGTCGCCTGTTTATTTTGACTCTTTTTAGTCATAAATTTCAACATTTTTGTACTTCATTAGCTTTTTATAAGGCCGTGTGAAGTATACTTCCCACTAAACTTATCAATTTTTAAATGTAGACGGGAAGTTGATTTCCCACCAATGATTTTTGCAGTGATATGCTGATAACTTCAGAAAAAAAGTAGATAATACCAATGACGAGGGCTTTGTTTACATAAATGTGGGTAACAGTAAGTGCAGCCAAGAAGAAAGGTTGACACTGGGGAGCTATAATCTTTTACGCATTATGCTTATTTATTTGATAATCTCTCATCGACTTTATTTGTATTTATAAACACATAATTTATAAATTCGACTATTTATAAGCAAAGAAGTCGAGGTACATCACAAATTCTTTACAGTACATAGATAAAATTTTGAATATTACAACCCACCAAAAAATGGTTTTGAAAATCAATTTACTTTTAGGAAATAATCTTGATGAATTCCTTTTTATGTCCACAAACTTTTAACATAACAGTACTAAAAAAGGTGGTCCTGAAAGNTAAACAACTTTTAAACTAATTGTTTTCATTGTGTGCCGTCAAATTTCGTAATCGTTAAAAGTGTGCCGCCACAGAAAAAAGGTTGAGAATCACTGGTTTACATAAATGTGGGTAACAGTAAGTGCAGCCAAGAAGAAAGGTTGACACTGGGGAGCTATAATCTTTTACGCATTATGCTTATTCATTTGATAATCTCTCGTCGACTTTATTTGTATTTATAAACACATAATTTATAAATTCGACTATTTATAAGCAGAGAAGTCGAGGTACATCTCAAATTCTTTACAGTAGATAAAATTTTGAATATTGCAACCCACCAAAAAATGGTCTTGAAAATCAATTTACTTCTAGGAAATAATCTTGATGAATTCCTTTTTATGTCCACAAACTTTTAACATAACAGTACTAAAAAAGGTGGTCCTGAAAGGGTTATTTATTCATTACTTATCCTGAAATGTGTCGCATGTATTTTTAATACAGATGATTAGATAAGAAGTGAAACTATCCTATATGGCTTTTTTGTTATTTGGTCTGCTCTTACGTCACATCAAACTGGATAGTTGGGAGCCTTAATATTAAGAGGCAATTATTCTTTTTTTCTGTACATTTAATCAATTATTATTAGGAAGCTCTGCAAAATTGTCTTATAAATTATTACTGTAATAAAATTAATTAATAAAATAATACATTAATATTATTAACTAATATTTGCTTACTCAAGATTTCAATATTTTTGGTTCAGTTATCCTTATTTCTGTGCATCTTATTGATAAAATTTAATTTAGCTATAATAACGGAACAAAAACTTTTCAGAAACCTTCTCTCTTACTTGGCTGTTTATTATTTATTTTAAATTCATAATTTTTCCCTTTGATATTTCAAATGGGTATTATCTTTCTCTAATATGATTTTATGATGCTGTCTTAAATTACTATCATTTTTCTTTTTTTAATGAAAGGAACAATTTATTAAATCGTCATCCCTGTTTTTACTCGTATTGTATTTATGTGCTTTATATTTTTTCTCTTACTTAAATATACTTATGAATACAAATTAATTTAGCAATTTTTTCTTCTTAAACAAAGGCTTTTCGTTTTTAATTTTGCAAGTAACTTTTTTTTAATAGAAGATGATCAAAATCAATTTTAAATTGAGCATGAGTTTTTAAAAGTTATAATTAAGATGAAAATATTCAAAAAGAGAACATGATGCACATAGGATGTGCCTAAAAACATATTCAAAAATAGGCTAACATTTAAACAACTGTAAAAATGAAGACTTAAAATTGTCAAATAAAATTCATCACATATTCTTTATTAATTTCTTTTAAGGTTTGTAATGTAGTTGGTTTTTAATAACAAATTTTATGGTTTCTTATGTCATTACCTGTGTGTGATGGTTATGATTTAAAACAGATTTGGTTCACTTAAATTCTGGAAATATTTTTTTTATTCTACTTACAAATGTTTCCTATGTCCAGTACGTAAAATTTTTTTGCCCTAAGCCGTTTAACATCTCAAAACTTTAACACTTATTATTTTTTTGTAAAGCCATTAATAGTTATTATAACACAGAATTTTATTAACCCCTCCTTGTAATTTTTTTTCTTTTCTTGATATTATTTTTTTTTTAGATGAAATGGCAATAAAAGTATAAAATTACTCACATCTTTTCTTTTATCATAATTTTTGCTCTCAATCTTCTTTTTTTTTTTTTTTTTTTTGATGAAATACATAGGAGTAAAAATTATTAAAATACAGAATTATTCATACCTCTCCTTTTATCATTATTCTTTTTTTTCTTCCAATGAAATGGCAAAGAAAATTATTAAAATATAGAATTATTCATGCCTTTTCTCTTATGATTATTCTCCTTTTATTTAGTGCTTTCGTTTTTATCTCTAATTACATATAACTATCTTACATTTTGAAAAAGCAACTTACTTTATAAATTGTTACCATTCCAACACCCACATTAAAATATGCATAAAAAATAAGTTGATAAGTAAAAAATTTATAAAATTGAGAAATAGTTTTCCATTTTGAGCTAGAAAAATTGTATATTAAGTAGTAATTAACCTTGTGTCCTCATATTTAAGCACGTCACTTTATGCTTTAAAATTTTTATGCACCTAGACTTAACACGCTATTACACTCACTAAATTAATGTATTTTGCCAGGATTATTCCTCAAAGCTCAAATGTGAATGTTTGTGTTATGGTGCTACATTAGAGTGTAATTTAGCTTGACATCTTTCAGAAATGGTTGCTAAAACTCGCGAATTTAAAACATTTCTTAAAAAAACTAACACTTTTTTGTTTTATTATTAGTACACTTATTAGAAGAAACTGTTTATAATTTCGGACATAACTTCATTAAGTTAAAATGATTTCAAGCTATTAAATGACCTCAAGCAAATTTTAAAGGAAATTTGTTTTAAGCTATCTTATGATTTGGGTAAAAGTTAATACTTAAATAATACTTTTTATTATTATTACTGAATGGGATGTAGTTTAATAGTTTAAAAGTGAGTTTTAAATTATCAGCCTTATATAGAGGGGTTAAACTTCTTTTATAGCAAAGAAATCATTTTTACAATTGATTTTCGATTAAAAATAAATAAGAAATATTTTATACAATTATTAAACACTTAAATAATTTACATTTCTTAGGCTACACGTTATGTAAATTAAAGTAATAGATAAATATTGTTTTAATAAATCCTGCCTTATACATTTTTTATTACAAAGATTGATTTGAAAGTGGTATTCATTATTTTCTGTTTTATTCACGAAATTATCAAAATGATTGATTGAGGTTTTTTATTCATATGTTAATTACTGTCCAATTTATAAAATTCTTATTCATCCCAATTAGTTGTAATAATAAAAACATAAAATATGGGTATTGCATTTTTTAATGATCCATAAAAATAAGGAAGGTAACTAATGGATTGATAACAGGAATTTTTTAATATTTCAAAATTGATATTCCTTGAAATGTGGATTTTCAATAAAGTGCATAAGAAAGTATCAATGAAGCAGTATCAAGTACTTTTTGACATGAAAAAACACGATTGCTTACTGAGTTGTGAAAATTATGTGTAAAAATATAATTCAGAATTATACTTTTGGATTCTGAATTATACTTTTGGAATTTATAACTTTTTAATTTGATAATTTAAAACAAGTTTAAATTGGACAAATAGTTTTGAACAAAGAAAGTCCTTGAATTCTGTGTGCTAATTTAAATTAATTAGAAACTCTTGAACTGATGCTATTTAGCATATATATATAGTGGGGAAAAAATGGCTTATTACTCATTTTAACATTCAAATCAACATTTTTTAAATATTTACAATTGAGTTCAATTTATGGCGTGTCTTAATATTATTAACGTGATTATTCCTACAATATCTTTGACCATTCAAGTGATTTCTCAGTTTTTTTTACAGTAAAATATAATATATTGTAAGTCTTTCAACAAAGTTGCATTAACTGTCTTAATACTTGGCAAATTAGTATAAACATTTCCCTACCCGGCATCACTCCTTCTATGAATAACGTCAAGAAAACCTGTTTGCTGTGTTGGGAAATGCAGAGAACTCATCCTGATTCGAGTTCAAGGTTAACTGTTAAAGAGTAAATATTAAGGTCCCCCTATAATTTATCTGTTCTTGAAGAATAAAGTAGATTTAATTACATGATTATGTTTACATACTTAAAATAAGTAAATGTGGTTTTGTCCTTCTTTAATAACATGAATATTAATATATATAAATAGCACCCCTATATCAAAAACATTCGTTGATTTTTAATAGTTGAAGTTTTAAATTAATAAAATGGGCATAATGATTGATTGTTGACAAAATTTTGTATTTTTAAAACATCTAAAAATTTGATGTGTTTCATTAAAACTATATGGATAAAAAATTTATGAAACAAAATTAAGCTATACAAATATGAAATTTCTTTTCATTTTAGAATAGTTGCATAGTGTTTGAAAAACATATAATTTTTATTAACATAAAGGATTAAATAATTGTCAATTTTGGTATAAAATGTAATTTCATTTTAGGTTATAAATGCAATAATCATATCCTTATCCGAAAACATTCAAAAGAAATAAATTAGTTGTTAACATTGAATTTCTTCATTTTACTTTAATGATTTACTTCATTATCAACAATCCATTCAGTATATGTTTAATTTACAAATGCATAAAAGCAAAAATATATTACATTTTTGTTACACAGCATGTAATAGTATGGCAATCAGTAACAAAATCAAATGCTTTTAAGAAGGAATTTTTTAAAAAAAATTAATAAATATGAATCATTTGTGAATTTGGCAGCATATTTACCCTGTTCTTTGTTCAATGGTATTTTACATTTTCAGTTGACGCTTGTTTCGATTTATATTGCTTTAGATTTATAATTTATAAAAAATATTGTTTTTGAGAACCTTTAAATACTAAACTATGTATGTATATAGGAATGCCAAACTACTACAGATTTTTCTCTTATTTTTACGTAGTTTTGTTCTGCTTAAAGAAAGATTTTAAAAAGGAGAACTCCATTGCCTATTTCTTTTTTCCCATTCTACTTGTGAATAGCGCCATAATATTTGGCAATTTTATTGGAAAACACTCATTTTTATTTATATAATTAAACTTATTTTTTGTTCTATAATTAAATATGAAATAGTTTTAATATTTATTCTATTCAATAAGATATTTTTTTAGACAATTACAAAAAAAAAATATTACATTACAAAGGTATTAAAGATATGTATCTCTGTTACTATGGGAAAAATAACTGGAGTTTGGCATCCCTGTTATATGTATATAGATTTAAAAGTGTTTCGACTAAGAAATTTTGTATTTTCCTGGTGTTTTTCTTGTGACTAATATTCTCAGTTTTTAAAGAAAAATTAATTACTTAAAAGATTAATTTTTATTTTATCAAATGATTTCCATGTTATTTAATGTGTATAATAGACCACAACTACACAAGGAAGCAAACTGTTCTTTGGGACATCAAAAAAAAAATTCTAGTTGAGAAGAACCACAGACATTAAATAAATCTTGAAGATTCGTTGATGTCTGAATCTTCTTTAATTTTTGTCTTTGTTACATCACAAACCAGTTTTTCAGTTTGATGTTTAGTATTTTTCTCAGTACGAAAATAAAATAATAATGAAAATGGTGTATTTGTATTCTTGTTTTATAAGACAACATCGTTAGTTTTAAATTTTTTAATTATGAACTTTTTTATGAAATGAAGTTTGAACACTTGTTGTTGAGTACATGCTGTTCTCTAGTTTATCTAAAGTAAGAACTCCCGATGCCATTTGTCTGGACCCATGGCGGTGACTATAGTAACAAGGTATAACTATTTTAAGTAAGGGTCATAACATACTACAGGTTTTGGCTAAGGGTCGGCGGGGAAAAGGGAATCTTTTTCTTCAATCTATTGTGTTAACCCTAGAGTGAAGAGAAGCTACCCTTCCTGAATTGCGCTATTCTTGTTTCCATCGCAGCAGACGCCCTCAGACTTCGTGGCGGGGAGAGTTCTTACCGTAGACAAACTGTAATGATGCCCTTTAATATATATTTTTTAGAATCCTTGTTGAAAATGAAATCCAATAAGCACACACAAAAGATTTCAAATTAATATTTGAGCAAGAAAATTTAAATGTAATAAATCATTATAGAGAATATAAAAAATTGAGATTAAAAACAAAACTAGTTTGATTTCCAAATGAAACTTGGAGATGTTTCTAATATTTTTCGCAGTTTTGCCTATTTTAACAAGTTGATGTTCGCAGTTGAGTCTCATCTCTCAATATTAATTAGAACTTCCATAGCGTTTTTGTTTTGCTTTATTAATTTGAGATCCCCAAAGTCCATACTCTTTTTTTTTTTTTTAACTTCCTCCTTGGCTAGAGATTCTAAAAATGTATATTAAAGATCATCCGTCTGTAAATTTATAAATAAACCTTATGTGATTTAGTAGTTATTTTACTTGAAGGAAAAAGGTGAAATTAACATTTTCAGTCCATTTTTCCTAACAGTACGATGAATTTTTCAAAACTTAACAGCTAGGGAAAAAAAAAATGCTGAGTATTAAATTAAGATATAAAATTTTGAAATGTGGTAAACAATTATTAGATAAAACTTTTTATTTTTAAAGTTTAATTTATTTATTTTAAATGAAAAATATTTTTCTAAAACATTTAGTTGAATAATGAAGTTTTGAAAATCAGAAACTTAAAATAGAAATATATTCAGGGTATCTGCTACATCTTACATTTTCAAATCTATGACTAATGCCAAGAATTTTTCACCACTTAATGAAGTTACTATTTTCTGTGACAAAATCACATCAATAAATTTAAAAAAGCATTACATTAATTGAAATGATAGGTATAACCAGAACTGTTATACTCTTCATATTTATAGATTTTAAATGTAAAAAACAGAGTAAAGAAAGAATGGAAGCAATAAAACAACTAAAAAAAATATAAAAGCAAATTTTTTTTACTGCAGAATTATATTATTCTGTTCTCATCTCCAAATAAAAAAATTTGCCAATAACAGGCTTGCTTCAGCTAGAATTTTAAATTGATGAAAGAAAGAAAATTCTGAAATCACAGAAGTTTAAAAGATAATTCACTCCAGAAATGATGTTCTTTCTTTTATTTTTTGGAAGAACATAATTTCTAAAGAACAGGAAAAAAACATTTTATATTTTAATAAAATATGACTGTGAGTGGGGTTTTGGTTACAAATTCAGATATTCGGAGCACTGTGAAATTTGGGGGGAGGGATAAATTCCTCTTTAAAAATTAGATTTTTTGGTGAGCTAAATCCATGATTCTTTTTAAAAAATAGTTAAAATCATGACAAATTTTGTTCGATACCGAAATCCATGACTTTCCTTCTTTATGAATTTTCATCAAAATAAGATTAAATTATATTAAAATCATGACAAATTTAATAATTCCTCTAGTTAAAAAATTTGGATATTTTATTCTAATAATTATTTCATTAAATCTGTTACATTTTTTATTTGTCAGTAAAAAATGAATTAAAAATCTTAAACACATGAATGTGTTAGTACATTCATCATTTTATGAGCTTTTGAAAAAAGATGCAACTAAATGCAATTTTTCCAAATTTAATTATTTTTGCAATTTACTGTTCTTTTTCAACAATGGTAAATTATGTTTTATGCAATTACAGTTTCTGCAAAAATAAGTAAATTCCAAATCTCTTTTTTTTAATTAATTGCGAAAAAAAAAAACACTTTCCTTACCATCTTTGATTTTAGGTTTAATTTTGATTAGCAATTTTTAGATATTTTTGATGTACAGAACTAAACTTTTCAGAAAAGATTGAAAATAAAGGAGACACTTTGTTAGATTAGGAGAAATAGTGCTTGATAATTTTTAGAATTTCTATAGATTTTTCTTAAAAATATTAAGCAATAAAATTATGTAATTCGTGGTTTAAAATAAAACGTCAGTCTGTTTTTAAATCTTAATTCTATTACAGTTAAATTGATTTGGATGGCACTAAAAATTCTTTTTTATGTAAAATAAATCATGCAAAAACAAAGATAGTTATCAACAATCTAAAAATGTATAATAAAATACCTTCCGTAAAATGCTGATTCCAGATTTGTTAGTAAACATAGTTAACTAATTCCTTACAAGAGCATTCAAAATAATGATTTGTTCAGAATAAAAATAAAAAAGATTACCACAAAAATTTAACTATGGGCTGGTTGCAATGAAAAAAAAAAAAAAATTCATATTAATGTGAGTTTTAAACTTTTAGTGATGGTTATTATCATTAAGACTGTAGCAATCTTTTTTATTTTTACAATGACAAATATTATTTTTTTAAAATAGTTTAAGAGCCATTTAACTGACTTCAAAATTAATAACAATTATGAACTTAACACCTTCGAAACTACAGAACAATTTCTTTTATAAATCAAAATATTACGTTTAATTTAATGCCCTTTTTTTCCAAATGGGAAGATGAGATTCTAAAGAAAACATTTTAAATTATAAAGAATTTCAGTTTTATGAAAGACCAAATTTGTCAAATACAAAAATATGTATCTCTGACATTTAAATCAAAAGTGTTAAAAATTGAATTAACAGCCAAAGAATCTCAATTTATAGGCTTAAAGGCCAAAATTGTCTTTGTTTGCTCTTTATTTTTTTGCTATTATCTTGACTTATTAGACACAGTCTCTTCATTGCTTCCTCCCCCAACTCATTTTTCTTCTTCACATTATCAGGACTACTTAAGTTTTTTTTTTAACATTAAAATTCATTTAATATAGACAATTAGCTTTTCTTTAAAATCTAAAGCAAACTTAAATTTCGAAACTGCAGCATAAAAATACAGAAATTTAAAGTAAACAAAAATAAAGACTAATGACAATGAATTAAAAAAGCTGATATTTTCCTTCAATTTTAATCAGATTTAAAACCTAGATTTTTAGTTATATATAATACAAATGCGTAGTAAGTTATTTTAAAGTTCATTCGTTTGATTATTGCATAACACTTAGAACGTCATAAAGCTAATTAAAGTGTTGTCAATAAAATAAGTAATCTAACTAATAAAAAAACTTCAATGGCAAATTATTCTTTAGCTTTAATTTATTGAATCAGTTGAGCATATATTTAACAAAAATAATTATATATAATCAAATTATGGATATAAAAATAATTAAATAAATCAAATCCATATATAAACAAAGCAACAAAATTAAGAGAAAGACCCTTAACATATAACATACAAACGACTAGTAAAATAAAATCTTTTTATTTAAATTATATTTAGGTATTACTTTTAGATTTATGACTCAAAGCTCTAATAAAATGTATTTAAAACAATTTTAAATTAATTAATATTTCAAACTAAAATTGTTAAAATATATAATTATTAAAAACTAATCACTGCTATATAACATCATAATGATTTTTTAATAAAAATTTTAAACTCAAGAATTAGTCAAGAGCCAATTTGTCGGCTATATACCAAATGAAGAATATAATATTTTTGGTAAGGAAACATTACAAAATAATAATAATTTTAGAATAATCTTGTTAGAACAAGTCTTTGTTATTTAATTTTTATCCTAAATTTATATTGTTTTCTAACTATTAACCAGAGTATGAAATTTCAACTTGACATTGGCAAACAATTATATTTAAGGTTACCGAGTAAATTTCATGTAGCTTCGACTTTAATTATTATGCCTTTTTGATGTGGATCATGGAAATGTTTCAATATCAAACAACAAAATTTTATTTCGATTTTAGAATAAAATAAGTGAAGACACTCTTCACTTGCAACATATCTGCTTTTGAAATACTACAGCCTAAAGACAACCTTATTTTTGTCTTAATATTACTTTGATCAAATATTATAGTTCATATTTTTCATGAACATGAAATGGCAAACAAAAATTTTAGTTTTGCTAGTATCTTCAGAACTGAAATTTTACAGTATTTACTAATGAGTACTTAAATCATCTGATTCATACAATGTTTTAGTAATCATAATAATTTCTAATTTCATACCAAAATAAATTGTGCTATCAACTTTCCAAAAAGTTGCCAGGATACTATGGGATTATCCCGTCGACCTGCCAACGCTCGCCAAATACTTTGGCGCTAGTTGTTAAGTTTGGCAAAAATGGTAGATGGGTTAATCCCAAATAACTGTTGCCAGTAATACTAAAAAATATTTCTAATAAAATCACAGTTAAAAGAAATGATTGATAATTATATTTATTAAAGAAAGAAAACACATATTTAACAAGAAAGTTATATTTTATTCTTTTTAGATTTATGTTCATCTTGATCATCATTATCATAATTCTTTTTAAACAACATATGTTCATCTTCCACAAAATTCAAAACATTTTCAAAACCATTATAAAATTTTTGTACTTCTTTGGTAAATTCTGAAACTTCAGACTTTGAGCACAACATATAACAATCAGTTTCATCATCAAATTTAAATTCGCAAAATGTTATTGGTACATCTTTTGATACAATCAGTAAATTATTATTCTCCAAAAATAGAACTTCCTTGACTCTATATGACAAATTCATAAACTGCTTGAATTGAAACTTGCAATCAGAAATTTTGTACAAAGCAATTCCTTTTAAAAAATGAAAAACTACAACTAATAAATTTCTTCTCACATCTATTCTACAGCATTGAATAGAACACTGTAAACTTTCTTTAGACAAATCATCCCTAACGGAATCTTCAATAAACGAAAATGTCTCACATTTGTTATCACCATCATCAAAAGTTATATTTTGACATAAGTTTTCACATTCTTTCTCAACGCCATCCAATTCCCATAACCTTAAACTACCATCACCGGATCCAGATACAAGTGTATAATGTTTCAGAAAAAACCCCGAAGAAATGAACATTGCATGCCCAAGACAATAACTATGGATATTGTAACAATTAGGATAATTAGATATTCTTATCTTACCATCGCGGTCACAAGTTGCTAAGTATTTGTCGTCTGAGGATATACAAATATCTGTGATAAAACTTATATGTCCTAAAATAAACTCTCCGTCGCTATTCAATTCTGAAGAGGAAAATTTAAATACATCGCCACCCCGATCAGCTAGAATGATGTCTGAAAGTAGATTGCTAAAAATAACTTTTTGACATTTACGAGCAGAATGTCGAGTGTTTACAATGTCCCAAGTAATATTTTCATTTTTCCACAAATTGACACGATAATTGTTATCACAAATAACTAAAAGATTGCCGCATGACGAAATATCTGCAGACAAAATGTGGATTTGTTTACTTTCAGACTTCTTATTATTTTTATTTCCATTAGTTGTTTCGGGGCTGGAACAAATTGATGGACATTTTAATACAGTTGGCTTTTCANAAAAAAAAAAAAAAAAAAAAAAGAATCGAAGAGTCGATTCACAAATCGACTCAATTAAGTGAATCGATTAAAAAGAATCGATTCATTTTAATGAATCGATTGGCACATCACTACCAAATAGAAGTAAAAGTTAATGTCGGAAAAATTACTTTCAACAGAAACAATGAGGAAGTGAAATATCGCTTAATCTAAACTTCTGGAAATAGAGTATTTTTGAATAGCGCGTATTTGCGATTGCAACGCAAGAATATGCCATCAAGGGAAAACAACAGTTCCATGTTGAAAGTTTCCCTTCTCTATTTTATTTTACTGCATTGTAGATTTTCCAGTCATTCACCTTTCACAATACCTTTTATTTCATTTTTAAAAGTATTTTGAAGTTTTCGAAATGCTAAGGTTATGAGATTAAAGCAAGGCATTTTTTTCTATAGACATTTTTTCAGCTGACAAACGACATAGATAGAAGCACCTTCAAAATCAGGATCTCTTACATCACGAAGATTGATTTCCCTACCTTATCTAAGTACTAAGCACTGACTAATCATTATATCAGTCCTGGAATATGATGCTCCCGCCTTAACTGCAGTAAAGCAGTCACAGGGCTTCTAAAATTATTATTGACTCCGTTTCTTCAACCTACAACGAGAATGCTGCATATGCTATGCAACTTACTTTTTCTACCTTGTATATGTCCCGCAGTGGACTAATCGTTAAGACGGGGTTCCCAGCAGATCACCGAAGTCAAGCATCACTGACTACGGTCAGTGTGCGGGTGGGTAGCCACTAGGATCAGTTTGCGTAGGGACCGAGGGTGTGCGGTATTGGTCCTCGTTAAACTGTGCTACCGTAAAGTGCTCGACTTCGCGCGCAGGTCGTCGGGCTACCGAAGCGGGGGTGCCATCCCCTCCGCAGAGGATCAAAATTGTGATGGCATGTCTTCGGATCATCCTCCGGGATGTTTCCCAGACCGTCGCCAATAGCCCATTGTGCAGCTCTAGTGCGACGTAAAGTAACAACAACAACAGCAACCTTGTATATAAGCAAGCTAAAAGCTGCAAACTGTAAAAAGCTCCAAGGTTAGAATTCTTTCCCCCGCCAAATTTTTACTGAAAACTATTTTAAAAACTACTTGCCTTAACTTTAGAAGACTTTTGCAACTTAATATGTGTAAAGAAAAGGTTAATGATATTGTTTTTGATTTGTATTTCACTTAATGTGCTATTTGGATTTAGGAGATTTATTCATACTTGGGGACAAGACGTAATAAAACTATTATTCTCAAATTTATATCCAAAACCCTTATTAATGTAAATTACACTCATATAATTGTAAATCTATAGAAAGAGCTCTAAGAGGGTTATTTCCATGTAGCTCATATTCATATGATATTTCTTGTTAATACTGAAAACAAATATCGATGGAATGATAAAATAACATTTTCTTCCTGCTAACAACAAATAAAATTTCTGCTGTGCGTGCCTAAATAATAAAAAAACGTGCTTTCTATTCGATTCATATAATTAATAAACTATTCATGCCGTGTGTGTTAAATGCTTCTGGGCAAAAGGAGATATGATTATTGAAGGCAATATCTTTCTGTGTTGACAATAACATTCTTTGTTGTGGCAGAGTGTCTGGGCAAAGTGTGACACATAGTTGTAATGATGTTCTAAGAGAAAAATATTTTCATAGAAATTTCTTTGCTTAAAAGTTTCCAAGTGTAGTTAATGATTGTTCTACATATAAAGTCCTATGCAATAAGAAGTAATTTCATGTTTTGTGTTCATAATATAGGAATAATTTATTTAAGAAAGCATGAGGAATGGAACTAATTTGCAGTAATCTAACTAACACGTTCGGCGAACTTTTCCATGTAGTGCATTATTAAAAAGTTGTAAATTGATTGCAATTGCAGTTGATTAAACTGTCGCTTACATTTATAAAGCACATGTGATTTGATATTTATATACAAGTAATTGAGATTGTGATTTTCTTGTTAACACTGAGAAAATATTTTTTATTTGCAGTTTGTGCAATTTAAAATTGTTGGATAAAATTAAACTTTCTTGACCCTCTCATATTTATGTTAATTTATAAGAACACGCATTTATCGTTTATGATGAAACATTGATACAAAATTTAGCAATTTTTTTTAAATATATATATATATCTATATTTGTATTGTCAAACCTTTGAAATCAGTGACAGTTAAAAAAAAATTATGTCTGACTTAAAAATATATATTGTATCATATTTTTGCAATGTGCATATGAAATAAATTGTAAATGAAATCTAATTGGATAATTTCATCTTCATAATAGTAAATTGCATTACTGTTTATTTTTGTATGAAGTTTTCCTAAAAACATTCATTTTGCAGTGTGTCATTCATAGTGTATTAAATTTAAAGGAATTTCCTACATGAAGAGGTTCATTGTCTCTGCCGTTTTTTGTGTAAAAAAACATAAAGTGAAATAATTTAATTTAGTTTTGTATGTATGGTAAAATAGAAATATCAAAGCAAAGTTTGTGGGGGAAAAAATTTGCATCTGATTATAATTTAAATTGATCCTTTCACAGATGCTCCTATTAATAAATCATATTCTTGTTATAAAGTGATCATATTTCTGCAGTATTTTATTTTGCTTATTTAAAAAATTTAGTTGAAGTAAGGGATTTGATGCTACATGATCAGCTTGTAATATGTGTTATTGAAGTGTATTAAATGACTTACTTTTGTAGTGAAAATTATTTTGAATTATTGCCTTCATTTTAATTAATGGTTAATTATTTTTCCATTGTCTAGTTCTAGCTATTTGTATCAAACAAGCAAAAGAAGGAGCAAAAATTTTATTTTAAATGGAAAATTTATATTTTTTCTTATATTTATGTATTTTTATTTTAAATCATTGCAAAATGGATATGTGTCTTCATTTCTTGCAGCATATTTAGGATTGTTATTTAATAGATCTTACTCAACTACACACAATTTATCTACACTTATGATTATTGCTTTAGTAGCACCTTCAAAAGTGTTTTTATACAATATTTTATGTAGCATTCTGGTAGTGTAGTGATTTATTTTTAATGCTAACAAAGAGAGACCCATACTTAATACAAGTCATATAAGCTGGAATCTTATTTCTTGCATTTTGTGTAATTAGAATTTTCTTCAAATTATTCACATTTGCCTTCACACTGTTAAGAAACCTTTTTTGTGCAGTATGAGTAAATAAAATTTTTCACAGAAAAGTAAACATATACTGTAAAAGTGTTTTTCAACCTGTAAGATAACCTTATTCTTGTAATATATATGTAACTAAATTTTTTCAAAAAGAAGTAATCTCACTAAAAACTGCACATTTCATATTGGTTAGAAATCCTCTTGTAGCATAAAAAGAGTACAATAAGAGTTTTTCACAGAGATATCTTACTAAGTACAATTGTATAAATATGGGTGAGAAGCCTTATTCTTGTAGTATATGTAATAAGAGTTTTTCACGTAGAAATCAATTGACTGTACATTATCGTGTTCATACAGGTGAGAAGCCTTATTCTTGTAGTATATGTAATAAGAGTTTTTCATGTAGAAGTCAATTGACTGTACATTATCGTGTTCATACAGGTGAGAAGCCTTATTCTTGTAGTATATGTAATAAGAGTTTTTCACAAAGAGGTCAACTGACTGAACACGCTTGTATTCATACTGGTGAGAAGCCCTATTCTTGTAGTATATGTAATAAGAGTTTTTCACGTAGAAGTCTACTGACTGAACATTATCGTGTTCATACAGGTGAGAAGCCTTATTCTTGTAGTAAATGTAATAAGAAATTTTCATCCAGATCTAAATTGACTAAACATAGTAGTGTTCATACTAGTGAGAAACCTTATTCTTGTAGCATATGTAATAAAAGTTTTTCACAAAGACGTCTACTGACTATACACAGTCGTGTTCATACCAGTGAGAAGCCTTATTCTTGTAGTATATGTTCTAAGAGATTTTCATTTAAATGTAATTTGACTCGACATAGTCGTGTTCATACTGGTGAGAAACCTTATTCTTGTAGTAAATGTAATAAGAAATTTTCAAGTAGAGCTTATTTGACGCTACATAATTGTGTTCATACCAGTGAGAAACCTTATTCTTGTAGTATATGCAATAAGAGTTTTGCACAAAAAGATCTACTGACTGAACACAGTCACGTTCATACAAGTAAGAACCCTTATTCTTGTAGTATATGTTCTAAGAGATTTTCATTAAAATGTAATTTGACTCGACATAGTCGTGTTCATACTGGTGAGAAACCTTATTCTTGTAGTAAATGTGATAAGAAATTTTCAAGTAGAGCTTATTTGACGCTACATAATCGTGTTCATACTGGTGAGAAACCATATTCTTGTAGTGTATGTAATAAGAGTTTTACATCAAGAAGTCAATTGACAGCACACAGTCGTGTTCATACAAGTGAGAAGCCATGTTCTTGTAGTATATGTTATAAGAGATTTTCAACAAAAGGTGAATTGACTGTACATTGTCGTGTTCATACAGATGAGAAGCCTTATTCTTGTAATATATGTAATAAGAGATTTTCAGATAGAAGTAATTTGACTCGACATAGTCGTCATCATACCGGTGGGAAACCTTATTCTTGTAGTTTATGTAGTAAGAGTTTTTCTCGAAGCGATAGTCTATTGAAGCACATTCGAGTTCATACTGGTGAGAAACCTTATTCTTGTAGTATATGTAATAAGAGTTTTTCTCGTAGAGAGAGTCTATATCCGCACATTCGAGTTCATACCGGGGAGAAACCTTATTCTTGTAGTATATGTAATAAGAGTTTTTCACAAAAAGATCAACTGACTAGACACAATCGTGTTCATGCTGGTGAGAAACCTTATTCTTGTAGTAAATGTAATTCAAGATTTTCAAGTAAAGCTTATTTGACGCTTCATAGTAGAGTTCATATCGGTGAGAAACCTTATTCTTGTAGTATATGTAATAAGAGTTTTGCTCAGAGGTATAAACTGACTGAACACTGCCGTGTTCATACAAGCGAGAAGCCTTATTCTTGTAGTATATGTCATAAAAGATTTTCAATAAAGTGTAATTTGACTCGACATAGTCGCGTTCATACAGATGAGAAGCCTTATTCTTGTAATATATGTGATAAGAGATTTTCAGATAGGGGTAATTTGCCTCGACATAGTCGTCTTCATACTGGTGAGAAACCTTATTCTTGTAGTATATGTAATAAGAGTTTTTCACAGAGACATCAACTGACTAGACACAGTCATGTTCATACTGGGGAATAAACCTTATTCTTGTAGTATATGTTAACAGAGTTTTTCACAAATAGTTCTATTAAATAAGCACATTTGTGTTCATACTGCTGAAAAATCTTTTTCGTGTAATATATGTAATAAGACTTTTTCAAGAAAGGATTACCGAACTCGTCATATTCATGTTCACACTGTTAAGAAGCTGTTGCATGCAAAAAAAAAAAAAAAATTTTTTTTTTACTTAAAGAGCATTTAACTCATCATAGTTTTATTCATGCTGGTTAAAAACTGCATTTTTATAATATGTTTCAAAAGAGTTTTTTTTTTCTTCAAAAGACTGACTTTGATGTTTGTGTTTGAACTGGTGAGAAACTTTTTTGATGTACCATAATGTAATAAGAGTTTTTCTCTGAAATGTCATCTGACTAAATACAGTGTTGTTCCTACTAGCAACACAGCATATCTTTGAAGTATGTTATGAAGTAGTTTTTTCTAAATAATAGTGATCTGAATATTTACACTCGTGTTCATACTGGTTGAGAAACCATATTCTTGTATCACCTCTAATTAGATAAGTCTATCTTAACTAGAGCTAATCGAACTAATCATTGTTTTGTTGATCCTGCTGAAAAACATAATTCTTGTCGCACATGTCAAAAGAATCACATTCTGATCATACTGGTGCATTTATTTTTGCGGCATATGTAAAAAGTGACTGGCTGAATATAGACCATTTCTAACTGAGGAAAGATTTTCTTGCTTCCATTATAAGTAAAAAATTTCACAGAAGTGTCATTAGACTTAACACAATTTAATGAATCTGAAGTGTTTTTTATTTAGTATTTTATAATGCAGTTTTTATTGTATTTTTTTATTTTTATACTTATATAATGCATGTAAAATAAGCTCCAGTATTGAAAAGTTGTGGATTAAAATGCATTCTTGTAAACACATCTTAGTAGAAGTTGTAACCTTGGTTACTGGTTATAAATTGTTTTTTATTCTCTCAGCATTAAAATCCTGAGTTGTAGGTGATATTTTTAATAATACAGTAGGGAACCGATTATCCGGGACCATCGCTATTCCGGATAACTGATATTTCCGATTTTCTGAATCACTATAAAAAGCCGTTTTTTATTGTTAAACCCAAGTAAAAAATATATATATATATATTTGGAAATAATCTTAAAAAGAAGAAAAAAAGATGAAGTAATACACTAATGATTATTTCCAAAATGATGGTAAGGCGAACATCTTTCAAAAAAGAAAGAAAAATCCTAAAATCTTACGAGGAAAAAATTTATTATTTTTTTTAAATGGCGTGAAAATTTACCGAATTTCGTTCCGGTTTTTTGGTTTTCCGGATAACGGGTTCTGTACTGTAATAAGAAAAAAACTTTAAATACAGAGTATCCGCTTTGCTTTTGTATTTTTTTCAGGTATTTTATTGCTTCAACTCTTTCTTTACTCTATTTTTTAAATTTAAAATCTATAAATATGAAGATGCAGAGTATAACAGTTTTGGTTATATCTATCATTTCAATGAATGTTATTATAATGCTTTTTTAAATTGTTGTGTTTTTGTCGAAGAAAATAGTAACTTCGTTAAGTCATGAAAAATTCTTGGAATTAATCATGGAACTAAAATGTAGCAGATACCCTGTAAATAGCAGCCTTTAATTAAAATTACCTGTAACATCTTTTATTTAATGAATGTTTTGAAGTAAATTCGGTTTAATTGCAAGTATGAAACATATAAAGTAATATTTGCTTCATAAAATCAGTTTCTTAACTTAAATCTAAATCTTTTCATCATTTTATAAATCTTATATTTATGTTACAGAAATGCTACTGCTCTGAATATTAATTAAACTATTTAATGATTACTTGATATATATTTTGCTAATCACATTTGATTGTCTTAGATTGTATAATTTATGTAATTTTAAAAAAGAGCACAAAAGATAACTCAAACTATTAAAAAATCGAAATTAGTTTATTATTAAGGTTTCGTTTAAATTCTAAAAAACTGTATTTTACTAATTTATTATGCTAAATAATGAAATATGCTAATAATTTTAATGTGTCATTTGTAATAACTTTCCAGTTCACGGATATTCATGAAATAATTTTCTCATTATGAGATGTTTATATATGTAAGTGTGTGGGTGACATATTTATTTACTATAGTCCTTTTCTTATAATGGTTCAATGAAATTTAAATGTCTTGCACAAATTATTGTATTTTATTATTCTGTGTATGGTATATGTTATTCTGTATGTTGTATTATTCTGTATATGGTTAATAGGAAATGCACTTCGTTTAATATCAGACTTTGTATTGTAACCTAATGGTTGAAAAGTAAGAAATAAACTTTCTAAAATATTCCATAATTCAATGTACTGTGAAATTAAACATATGTAATCTAAATATCTCCTTACCTAAAAATTAGAGCAGCTTCTTTTAAAAAGTGAAATGTCTGCATACAATGATGCGGTATTATACTAAACGATTCAAATTCAGCGACTTGCTCTGCTTGTGGATTATTTATAGTGCAGTATCACTATATGGCGATTAAAAATAATATTGATTCTTTTTTTGGGAGGTGGTGTACCTTAAGAGCACTGCTCATCTTTGGGTTACCTACTTTAGTTAAAATCATAATGTTATTTAAAAGGCATAAATAATTTTTGAATAAATGATAGTAATAAAAGTAAAAATTGATAATAAAAATTAATGCAATGAATGTGTTATGAAATTTTTCTAAAAACGGAGTTTCTCTCAACGTTTTACACAAAAAATTAGTAGGCTTTATTTTAAAATTCTAATGAACTTTTTAAATATTGTGATAAAATAATATAGTGTATTATATTATAATTCCCATATTGTATTCACCATTGCAAATAGTGTACTAATTTTCCTATCAAATGCTCTTAATTATGAATACTCAAATTTTTTAGATAGTATACTAAAAATGCTTACCAACCAATACTTTTGATACAGATGTCATTTTTCATACCTAATTATAAAATAAGTTAATTATAATTTAGAAAATAAATCTAAATTTTTTCATGAGAATGTTTATTAACAAATTGCTGAATTTTCAATTTCAAATAAATAATCAATTACATAAAGTTTTATGAAACAAACTCTTTTAAAAATTCGAACTAAAAAATTATGCATATAGTCATGAACATTTTAAAATGCATTTTCAAATGTAAGCTATTTTTTAAAAATAAAACTTGTAAGTTTTAAAAAATACATGTTAGATCAGAGGATTTTTTTCATACATTTTACGTTATTTTTGATTTACTGATATTATAAGGTGATATGTTAGCTCTTGTTATTTTATTGTTAAATATTAGTTTTTTAAGGAAATGATTAATTAAAAACAAACTTACCATCTGAAATTTACAAAAAATACATTAGCATAAAAAAAAGTTGCAATGAAAATTTAACTCATTAAAAAAAAAATTAACAAAGTGATATTTATTTTTTTTAGATAGCTCATCTTTAAACAAAATAATTAAGAAACTTTAAATAAAATACATAGTACACTAGCTATATATATATATATATATATATATTTTCTAGCTATAAGCTTACATGTTTATTTTGGAAAAAAAGGATAACATAAATTGAAAATCAAAATAACTTTTAATCGATTATATAGATATCAAAATTTGGAACTAGGGAGAACTTCCACGGCATGAGATTGCACATAATTGCAAATCATGCTTGAATATTATATCATTTTTTTAAACCTGCATATGTATGCTTAGGACAATAGAATTCAATGCGAATGGCCCTTAAAACCAAAACAAATAATATGGCTCCGGTGAATTATCTATAAATATTAATAAAATGTGAAAGAAAAAAAATTTAAATACACTTTAACAGACTTCCTAAATATGACTGGATCATTAAAATTGCAAAGAATAGAAATACAACTAGATTCGACTTTTATATACATTACACTCATAGCTAAATAAAAAAAATTTTTAAACCTAAATATATATATATATGTAACATAAAAAGCTTCAATTGATCTTTTTATGTTATTTCTTTTCTGTAAATCCTTTTCTTTATTTTATTATTCTAATCGAAACACTTTCTCACACTTTTAAATTCTCCTCCTGTCTTTTAAATCTATTTTTGGCTCAAGCATGCATTAATTAAATGTAAGACATTTTTCCCTTTACTCTTTGTGGGAATCGCCCAACAACCTATTTAATAAAACAATTGCAAATATTAAGATTTCCCTAAAATGAAAAATTTTACGGATTTACCTTGCAAAATTTTCCCTAACTTATAATCGAGAAGCACAACTTTTCGTGACCACTTTTTTATAGCTGTTCTCCGTTTAATAATTAATAAATAAATTTTGTACCCTCCTTCCCTGCCTAAGACCTGTTTTAATCCTTCCACTCGGCAACGACGGTGATATATATAAACAAAAAGATATAAATAATAAAAATTGTAATTCATCGGCTGCCATCAACAATAAAACTACGTTTAAACGAAAAAAGTGTCAGTTTTCGTTATGGCAAGGTAGCAAACAGCAACAATTTTAATTATATTTTTATTTATATCTTTTTGATATATTGTATAATTTATATATACATATATATAGCCGATCACTGATCTAGTGGTGTTACTGTACTGGACTACAGGGCCAGTGGTTGTGGGATAGCAATTTTCAGCTCTCAATTACAGCATGAAAATAAATAGGGCAAACAATATTTAAAGCTACGAAATCAGACGCAAAAATGTACTTTATCTGTATAAATTTACCTCCTGAATTCGGACCTTTTAATTTTCCTGAAATACGCAAAGCGTATTTCACCGCGTATTTTTCAAGCTATGGTGAAATACGCAAATGCGTATTTCACCATAGCTTGAAAAGTTTTTAAGCGAATCCAAAATTTTTTGCTTACAATGATAAGATTCGTTAATCGAAAGATAATGTTATGTTTCTAACATTTCTCAAATATTATTAGTTTTGAAGCGTTAGTTTCATAGATGGCAGCACTGAATTTTAAATTACTCTATTTTAAACTTTATGACAACTAAAAGCTCATTCTTCCTTCTTTTTTCATTTTCTTATTTTTACTCTACTTTATATGAGTGAGTTTATGTTTATTTGTTTAATTTTAAACTCATTTACAATTACGGTATTATTTCGCTTCTTTTTCTGCATACGTGCATTATAAAGAATAGTTTTAATTTTATTCTGTTTTGTTTCAAATTATGTATGTATGGAATAGGGATTGTTTGTTAGATGAAGACTTAACTTTGAACGTTTCATTTTAACGTAATGGAGCAATTTTCAAATTGAGCAAAAAATAATCATTATAAACCTCATATAATATTTAACAATAAAAAAAATTTCCCACTAGGGTAAGATGATGAACAGATCATTGCATTAAAATTAAAAATTATTCAGTTTAAAGATCAAAAATGTTTTATTGTATTGGCAGAGATTTAATTCCACATATTTAGTGTAGGTTTTTGTTAGGATAAAATTTAAATCTATTCAATTTAGCTTGGTTACTATTTCAACTTTATTTAAAAAAAATATATATATACTCTTGATAATTTTTGTTTATAATTAAAATTCCTGAAATCCTAGTTAATAAATTATATTTATTTTTATAAGCTTTATAGCTTATGTAAAGCTTATTATAAAAGTAAATATAACTTATTTACTTTTTAATAATAGTAAGCAAATTAATGAGTTAATAGTTATAAGTTTTAAATATCTTTATCATAAAATGTTCCGTAATAAGGTACTACATAGGTTTACTTATTTTCAAAAGAATTCCGCGTTTAGTTTTACGTCGTAACGCTGAAATAATAATTACTAATAATAGTAGAGAGCTAAGAGAAGGCGATAAATGAATATTTTACCTATAAATACAGTTAAATGAAGGTAAAGAAATATTTTACAGGTAAGGAATGTCTTATTTTATGGTGATGACTACATTATGTTTTTATGTTAGAAAAATTTTAAGGCAGTGACTCCTGATTTTTTCGACTGCAGAAACCCAGACGAGTCACTTTCTTAGAGGGGAACCCTAAATAATCGACCCTCTTAGAGCGGAATCCTAAATAATCGACCCTCTTAGAGCGGAATCCTAAATAATCGACCTTCTTAGAGCGGAACCCTAAATAATCGACCTTCTTAGAGC